TACTATACTGGGAAAGTGCTGCTACTATAGACACTAGTATACTGGTAAAACTGAAGCCTACATTAGTATTGCTATTCCATCATCCCTAAATGAGAGAAGCTATACTGGTAAAAGTGCAGTCATGATATCAATTCAATGGTGTATATTTAGTGCATTTGCTCACATAAATGTGTCAGTGAAATGTGTCACATTCCTAATCACCACAGCTATGCCAAAACAACAACAAAAAAGCCCTTAGAGGTTTACTGGAGACAATCACAGTAAAGAGATGGATTGGATCACAAAGTTCAGGTCCAGATCCAGACTTCCACTATGTTCAACACTATCAACTTAAGCTTGAATAAAGATCTTAACTGGTTAACGCACTACAAAAGACAGTTTTCCCTGCTTTGATATTCACGTTTCCACATCAAATGCTAAGAATGAAACAGATCCAACCTGACTCTTTACTAAAACCCAACAAGCCACATACAAGGATCACTTCACCTCCCTTCAGAAGGACAATAAACTATCCAACATCCTACATGCCTCAGGATCTCTCATTCCCAGTACTTTCAAGTCACCTAGCAACATTGTCAGCCTATCCAACCACACTCTAAGCTCAGCAGAGGAATCTGTCCTATTTTGAGGACTCTCCATCTGCCACACCACTATCACAAATATGATTCAGTTCTGTGGAGATCTGGAAGCCTATATTCGCCGCCTCTGCCTAAATGAATACTCCATTCATCTGAAGTGGGTTGTGCCCACGAAAGCTCATGATGCCATCTACATGTTTTGTTAGTCTAAGGTGCTGCTAGAATATTAGCTGTTTACGTTTTAACTAACTTAATTAACACTAGTCCTACAAGTAACTTTTGTGGTTATCTATAGCCTGGATTCTATATTCACTCCAATTCATCTGATGAAGTGTATTTTACCCAGGAAAGCTCATGACCTAATAAATGTGTTGGTCTCTGTGGTGCCACAGGACTACTCATTGTTTTTAAAGTTAAAGACTAACACAGCTACCCCTCTGAGACTATGTTCAGAATGTCTGACTTTGATCCAGATGGTCTCGATGATGGAAGAAATATGGTACCAATTTTATTTCATTTATTGACTTGAAATTAATGGATGTTCTATAATTGATACCACAATAATTCTGGACACTGAAAACATCACTTTGTGGTGCAATCGGTTTCTACCTACCCAAGGCAGAAGTTACAGGGTGTAATAAAGAAATAAATGTTTTAGTTAATACAAGCAGCAATTACCATGACTTCTTCCTGGTCCTTCATATTTGCTTATATTAACCTCCAATCAAATAATGCAAGAACCTTTACAGCAGGGGTGGGGAACCTTTTTTGGGTAAAGGGCCACTGCCCCACAGACAAATCAGTTGGGGCCACAAACATGTGAGAAGCAACCCCCCAAAATAAAAACCACTCACTGACATTACTCCTGTCTGAGAAAGAGAAAGACACTCCCCACATCCTCCTCACACACCAGAGCATGGGGGGCCCAGTCTAGTATATTTTAAGTTCTGCAGCTCCCCAGTGGAGCAGAGGAGGGGCTGGAATGCCACTGCGGGCTGCCCAAGGCTGAGATTCCCCAACCCTGCTTTACAGTATCAGCTCCACATCTCTACTCTCATATCCTCCCTCCTATTCTTCTTCTCATACATGCAGTCCCCTTAATCTCTTTTTCCCGTTCCTGACTTCTTTATTTTGCTACTTGAGTGACCTCAGTTTACCCATCTGTAAAGCAGGTCTGAAAATACTTCCCTCCCTGTTTGTTGTGAAGCATTTTGGGATCACCAGATAAAAGAAGCCATATGTAAAAATATATTATGCAGGTTGAACCTCTCTAGTCCAGTATCCTCAGGACCTGACCAGTGCTGAACCACAGGAGGTCAATGTTGTCTAGCAATATTACCAACTCTTCCATGGCATACTGGGCTCTTAGAAGACATCTGGGGTAAATTGGAACTAAACAACAGCACAGAACACAGAGAACCAGGACTGGTGGCTGTAAACTCTTGAGATCTTGGAAAACTTGGCCATACCCATGGTAAGTGGACATCTGACTAACTAAAATCATGCCGGACCACAGATATTGCCAGACCAGAGAGTATCAACCTGTATGTCTGGGTTTTTTAAATTAACTGGCAATTTTGTAGATTTGATTTTAAAACACTCTCCAGTCTTAATTTTAAATTAGGATTTTTAAGTAGGCAGATTTTTAAATAAGACACTTTTTTTCATCTGATTTATACAGCTGGCATACATGTTTCAGTAAATGTCTAAATGTTGTCGTCCCCCCCCCCCCCCAATCTACTTTTGCAGTCATTATTGAAAGTCAAACCATCATGAAAAGCTTTCAGTAAGTCTAAAACTGGAGTTTTATTAGATGGAACAGAAACTTGAAATCTTTACCAAGCCGAATAACTGTGGTTTCAGGTATATATTTTGAAAAAAGGAATACAGTGGTCTGTGTAACGAAAGATTCAATCATTTCAGAGGGCGAATAAGCTGAGGAAATTATTTGTTAAGCTATAGTTTAATTTTATTCAAATGTACTTCTCCTTTCTTCCATAAAGCTGTAATACAGCACCCATAGATTTTACCAGCAAGAAAGCATTTTCTGTTTGTGTTTTTTTTCCCCCACTCTCCATTTTAAACAGAGGATTTGACAACTGAGTTCTTGTTAAAAAAAAAAAAAAAAACCCCAAACACCAAATACTGAAAAATATAGACATGCAGCACCATCTACTGGTTTAATATATTGTGGATAAATGCATGACAGATGTACAGAATATATTTCCACAAGGCAAAGGCTGAAAAACAGTCACCCACACCAAAGCTTATTATAGTGATATATTCAGTCAACATCAAGGCTCAACTAAATCAATGGATATGGAATTGCCATGAATATCATGGAATACTTAGCACAGATGGAACTTTTTATATGTTAAGGTACTAAATAGTACACAAACTATGATAAAAGAACATTACTAAGGTTACAATGTCAAGCAAATTACAAAATTTTAAAATCGCCTGTGCAAACTTAATTTCGCTTCCTTGTATATATGCATGATAATAGTTTTTAATTACATGATTATGTTACTATTTTTTCCATGGGACCCCTGTCTCATTCAATGCAGAGGATAAGTGGTGCTCAGTTCCTGAGCAGCTCTTTAATAGGGTTTTTTTATTGTTCGGTGTGCACCTCCCCCTATTTACTGAAGGCTATTCAAGCCCTTCTCTGAAGACAGAATTGTAAGTTTCTTCATAATATTTGAGCGTTTCATAGAAATTACTTTTTACAACACTATTGTAAAATGACAGGGTTTGTATTATTCCTATTTTGTAGACAGTGAATCGAGGGACAGAGAGGTAAAAAATGTCCACTAATTTTAGAGGAACAATTTGAGATGCCTTCAACCTAATTTTTCAGAGTATTTAGCATTACTGAACACTTTGTGTTCCAAAACTAGCTCACGTTGACCCGAGCTGCAGGTAGGAACACTCAGCACTTCTGCAGATCAGTTCCAACTGTATCAAGTTAGCGCCCAAAAATGAGGCACATACATTTGTTAAATACCTGTGAAAAGCTTGGTTTATGTGATTTGCCTAGTACCACATAACAACTCTGTAGCAGAGGCAGGGACAGAATGAAGATCTCAAGGCAAGCGTTCAATCACCTTCACCTTGAGATCATCCATTTTCTTCCTGCAGTTTCCTGCCTTGTTCACTTCACAGCTTTTGACTTCTGCAACAAATAGAGCAGACATCCTACAAATGACAGCCTCCTACAATAAACAATCTTGACTGATTCCCAGAACATATCTAAACTCTGCAACAGAATGAGGCAGGCCTCCTGTGGAAAAAATAGAATATGATCAGGTACACAATTAAAGCTGTATGAAATCTGGAATGTTAGTCCTTTTAAAAAAAAAGTCACATTTCTGGAAAAAAAATTCTAAATTGGAACAAAAAAAATCAAATATGTAACCCTTTTGTCAGATGGAACCAGCAGCAGCCAGGGCTGGATTTTTTTAACTATATATATGGGTTTCTCTTCATCCAACACAGAACTGGCACGAGCCCCACTCCTGGGAAATTCACATACCACCCCTGGGAGCCTCTGAAAGGCAATACTTCCCCACATTCAAGCACAGATTCTGACTGTAGAAAAGAAATGTTTAATAAAAGGGAGGGAGGTATCTTAGCATTAAATTGGAAAAACACCACAAACAAGGTTTATGAGTAAATGTCCCACCCCACATAGTTTGGGCAGTGTCCTTTTCCTCTCAGGTTCTTAAGTCCAGCAATTTAAATGTCCCTTTTATATATTCAACACGTCTCTGCACCCCATTCACAGTTGCTTTGTCAGTACAGACCTTGTTCAGTGCAGACCTCGAGTTCAGAGATGCATTTGCACAGTTCACCTCCCATTCTGGCTGGGGGGGGGGGGAAGAGGTAAAGAGGCATCTTACTCAATCCACTGGTCACTTGTCATCTACCTTCTCACTCCTCTCTGCTACCACCCTGCTGGCTGCTCATTGCATCTCTCCACCACCACCCAGCTAGTTGCCTGTCACCATCCCTTCTTGGCTGTGACTTCTGCCTATCTGATTTCCTGTGGTTCCAAGCTCCTCACATGATTTCAACTCCCAGTGATTTCAACTTTTAGCAAGCAGGACAGGAAAAAAACAACTCCAACACAATGAGAAAGAAGCTCTTAATAATGCCTATTTAGCTCTGTTCTTTGAGCATTGGGGAGAACAGGTTAAACCAGTCCAGACAAACTGTCAGAGCTCTGAAAGTGGCACTCCTGCTTAGAAAGGTCCTTTCTGCTAATTGTGAGCCCTTTCCTTTGTAACAATTTAGCATAGTCCTATTTTTCTGTATACCCACAAAATTACAAACATTGGTAACAGTATTTTAGTTATCACTATATTTAAACCCCTGGATCTGCAGGGTTAATCCCTGGCAGGCTCCCACCTCTATATTTACCTGCACCTATGCAGGAATGGGATCATTGCAGCTCTTGCTGGCTGTGGATCACCAATGCAAGTGGCAGGAAACAGTATCTTGGTTCACACCACTTCCTGTCGCTCCTATTGGCTGCAAACAGCAATCTGTAGCCAAGAGGAGCTGCAATCGCCAAATAGCTGCAATACAAACACAGCTGGTGTTGGGTCACAAATTAAGTTGATTGCAATGAGCAAAATACCACTCTATCTACAGACTATCTAAGCAAAGCAGTATCTAATTCTATTTACATATTAACACCCACAGTCTCTTCCCCCCTTCCAGGTTGTAATGGAAACATTCCTTTATGTCCTGCTTTACATCCATGACATTCTCTGTGGAAGAATCAAAATGGAGTTTTATTTTACTTTTTAAAATCTCCAGTCTTGTCTTCCTGTGGTTCCAAGCTCCCCAGATCTACCTCAGCCTGTCAGGTGAGGTGTGTCAGAGCCAGGGAACTCACAAATCTACAGAGCCCTAAATCTGTGATAGCTTTCTCCTCCATGCTGTCTGGACTCTGCAGGTGAATCACTGAGAACACAGGAAAGAGAGTCTCCCTCTTCTAGCTTGGGCACCTGCAGCCAGACCTGAAAAAGCTCACAGGAGCCTTGGCTGCCAATCTGGACCCCAAAGATCTGGTGGGAAGAGGGGTTTTTGCGCAAAAAGAAAACATCCACACTACTTTTCTCTCCCTCCCCCCTGCAAAAACAGATTGTATAAATTATGCAAATGAGGCACTGATATGCTAATCAGCACCTCATTTGCATACTCACTGCCAGCAAAACCGGCAGTGCAAATGTAGCCCAAATTAACTAACTAGAATGTTAGGGTTTGGCTGGAGGCTTCTCACCATCAGGCAGCCAATGAGAGCTTCTTCACTGGGGGCCAATGTCACATTTCCCACATTCATCAAGTAACATGATAACACTACATCTCTATACTCAGAGTGCTTTATTAATAAATGCCTGAGAGAACACATATCATCAAACCACTGACAGACATCACCATACCAGGAAAGCTGAGTGTAAACCTATCCCACGAGTGCTTAACTGCTACAGTATACTGCTACGTCTACACTGGCCCCTCTTCCGGAAGGGGCATGTAAATTTCACGAGTCGTCGTAGGGAAATCCGCGGGGGATTTAAATATCCCCCGCGGCATTTAAATAAAAATGTCCGCCGCTTTTTTCCGGCTTTTAAAAAAGCCGGAAAAGAGCGTCTAGACTGGCCCCGATCCTCCGGAAAAAGTGCCCTTTTCCGGCTGGAGCATATGACCTATGAGGAGAGGCTGAGGGAGTTGGGTCTGTTTAGTCTCTTATTCTTACTTCAAAGTAGGAATAAGAGCCTCCGGAAAAGGGCACTTTTTCCGGAGGATCGGGGCCAGTCTAGACGCTCTTTTCCGGCTTTTTTAAAAGCCGGAAAAAAGCGGCGGACATTTTTATTTAAATGCCGCGGGGGATATTTAAATCCCCCGCGCATTTCCCTACGATGACTAGTGAAATTTACATGCCCCTTCCGGAAAAGGGGCCAGTGTAGACGTAGCCTACTAGTATACCTATATCAGCAAAGGGTTTCTAGTGTAGACATGGCCTAATTGTCCTATACACGCTATGGGTGAGCAGGGGGAATTCAAAATTAGAGGGTAGACTAAGAAACTCATCTGACACACACAGCATTTCAGCATTTTCACATCAGCTTCCCCACAAGGATCTTCATACTACTTCTGTCATAGATGTGACTTTCCCTCTTAGAAAAGTTCTACACCTTCTAGGGCAGAAGAGGTTTTATAAGGACAACAAAAGCACAAAACAAAGGAATCTTCAGTCTAGCCAGGCTCAGCATATGGCCCCTTTTTCACAGGCAAGGCCCACCTGTCTCAACACTATCAAGTACCTGGGCTTTAGTCCGTTCAACAGTACAGTTTAAGCCCACCCTCACAAACTTAGACTTAGCTCTAATTAGTCACAGTCCTCACACAGCTCCTGGCCCTCAGCCAGGCTTCTTACCCACAGGTAGAAGCAATCAATCAGTTTTCTTCCCAATCAGCCTTTACCTGCTGGGTTTCCCTCCTTTCTCCATGAGTTTTCATCTACCCTCAAGGTCCTCTTCAGTTCAGTCTTCACACTCACTTCTTTAAATCTGGCATCACCAGGTATAATAGCTTGGCCTCCCCAATCTCTCAAGACATGTCTACACTGCAATTAAAAACCACCTGACTCAGGAGTGGGCCTTAAAGGGGTTTAATTCTGGCCCAGGCAGAGGCCAAAGTTCCAGGACCCTATGATGTGGAAGGGACCCAGAACTTGGACTACAGCCAGACCTCAAATGCCTTTACAACAGTTGAACAGCCCCTCAGGCCAAGCCTCCCAAGCCCAAATCAGCAGCCAAGGCCCAGCTGTGTATGTCTAATTGCAAATGGACATAACCTGAGAAAAACTCAAGTCCAGTTTCTAATTCTACATCAAAGCAACCTATCCACTCTCTTCCCAGTCTCCAGCATTGGGCTTCTTTTTCTTATGCTTTATTATGAAGCAGGCTCATCCACTGAGGGTACATCTAGACTGGCAAGATTTTGTGCAAAAGCACTTGCTTTTGCGCAAAAACTTGTCAGCTGTCTACACTGGCTGCTTGAATTTGCGCAGGAGCACTGACTTTGTAATGTACAAAATCAGTGCTTCTTGTGTAAATACTTTCACGCTCTGCTCAGGGATAAGTCCTCTTGCGCAAAAATACTTGTGTAAGAGGGCCAGTGTAGACAGGCACCTTAATTTTTGTGCAAGAAAGCCCGATGGCTAAAATGGCCATCAGAGCTTTCTTGCACAAAAGTGCGTCTAGATTGGCACGGATGCTTTTGTGCAAAAGCACTTTTTGCACAAAAGCATCCTTGTCAATCTAGACGCTCTTTTGCGGAAATACTTTTAATAGAAAAACTTTTCTGTTAAAAGTATTTCTGCAAATGTATAATTGCCACCTACTATATTCTCCATATATTCATGCTGCTACACCCTTACTCCGCTCTATATCCTTAAACAAACACAGTAGAACTTTAAAAATATTATCCCGCTTTCCTGATATTCTCACTAAGCTCCTCATAATGTTCTGTCACTTTAAAACATCTAAATTTTTTGACACTGCCTGCATTCACATATCAGATGATCATCTATTTATTTAGCATTTGTTACATAACCCATCTTTGTGTCTTTTCAGTTCATATAAATTATTATTCAGCCCTCAGTGCCCAGTTAACAGTCTAAGCATGAGTATATCACTGCTCCTTTTACAACAGTGGAGTACTGGATTATCCTCTATTTTGGGTCATACTTAATAAAAAAAATCCCTCTTTTCTTCTTTGTTCATAATTCCTGACATTCTTTTTTAACCCTTTACTAAATAAACTTTCAAATTCCTGCTTAGTTGAAGCACTCCTTATTCCCATTTCTCTATTTTTAAAACAAGTTTTGGTTCTTTGCCATTTCATTGCTAGACACCCCAGCATGTGCTGGAATCTATGTTGGTACTATGGATGTGAAATCCTGTTTAATTGGAGGGTAGGAGGGGGCCACTCCAGCCTGACTGGAGATCCCCCCCCCCTGCCGTTGGGCTGGAGCGCACCCCCACCATCTCCCACCCCAGCCTGCCTACAGGGCACTAGGGCCTGCTGTAGACAAAGGCTGCTTCAGATGGGATGCCAGTGCAGTCCTGCCTGTGGCAACCTAGGACATCCTACAGGCAGAGCAGGTGTGGCCGCCCCCGCCACAGAAAGAGGCATTAACGGTGAGACTTATTAGTTAATCAGTTAAATATTCACATAACTAGTTTACACCACAGCATACTAATTCTGTTCTCTAAAACAATACAGGCAGTCCCCGACTTACATAAGTCGGATCCGCACTTACGAAAGGGGCTTTCTCGCCCCGGAGCTCGCAGGCAGCGGTCCCGCCCCCTCGACCTCCGGGGCGAGAAAAGCTGCGCCCGGTGCCCCCGGTATGCTGGGGACCATCTCCAGCAGACCAGGGGCACGGGGAGCAAAGCCGCAGCCGCGGCGGGGTCCCGCGCTTCTGAGGCTTTGCTCTGGCAAAGCCTCAGAGGCGCGGGACCCCGCCGCGGCTGCGGCTTTGCTCCCCGTGTCGCTGGTCTGCTGGGGGGAGGGGCGCAGCTAGTGTGCCCCCCCCAGCAGAGCAGGCTTTTGTTGTGGACCCTGGGGCAGAGCAGCTGGGGCACTGCCGGTTGGTCCCGCAGCGCCGCTCTGGGCACTACTGGACCAACCCGGCAGCACCCCAGCTGCTCTGCCCCAGGCGTCCCCAAGTCAGCCGCTGCTGAAACTGACCGCCAGTTCTGACTTACATACAGATTCAACTTAAGAACCCCAAACGTCCCCAAGTCAGCTGCTGCTGAAACTGATCAGCGGCTGATTCTAGGAAGCCCAGGGCAGAGCAACTCTGCCTCGGGCTTCCTGTAGTCAGCGCTGGTCAGTTTCAGCAGCGGCTGAATCTGGACGCCAGTTCCGACTTACATACAGATTCAACTTAAGAACAAACCTACAGTCCCTATCTTGTACGTAACCCGGGGACTGCCTGTATATCACTCATTAGAGCATTGCTGTTCAGTAGTAAAATGCTCAGTTTTCCTCCTTTCAGTTTCATGTCCTATAAAGGTCTAGCATGACAGGGCTAACTGAACAGAGCACACCGGTCCAAGACCTCTTGGTCCTTAATGGGTAGGTTGTCTGTTACTGAGACCAAAACCCCCCTTTTAAAAAAAAACTAATTATTTTAGGACTACTCTCAAGATTTTGGGAGTCTGAGTTATGATTTTTGGACTTTTGGGATTAGCAATAATGAAATTGCTTGTGCTATATGTATGGTTTTGCTCGTCTACTGCTCTGTGTGGCATTTTCTTTTGTTCTTTGTATTTACTGCCATTTCAGCCACTTCATGTGTTCAATAATGATTTCCAGAGCTAGGACAGTATAAGGAGCAGAAGCTGCAGATAGGTGTGGTGGAATTATTCTTGTGGTGTGCGGGACAGTTGTGGGGGTGTGGAGGTTGTAAGAGGGGCACTGGGCAATGTGGGGTGGGCGGATGTGTGTGGGAGGGTCATGGACATAGGGATCTGTGGTGGAGAACTCTGGGTGAGGAGCCAGCGGGCATGGTGATTGCTAAGCATAAGGGCTGTTTCTAGACTGGCAAGTTTTTCCGCAAAATCATCTGCTTTTGCGGAAAAATTTGCCAGCTGTCTACACTGGCTGCTTGAATTTCCGCAAAAGCACTGACGATCTCATGTAAGATTGTCAGTGCTTTTGTGGAAATAATATGCTGCTCCCGTTCGGGCAAAAGTCTTTTTCCGAAAAACTTTTGCGCAAAAGGGCCAGTGTAGACAGCAGAGATTTGTTTTCCGTAAAAAATCCCCGATCGCGAAAATGGCGATCGGGGCTTTTTTGCGGAAAAGCGCATCTAGATTGGTCACGGACGCTTTTCCGCAAAAAGTGCTTTTGCGGAAAAGCATCCT